CCACCAAACCACTAGGAAGACAAAAACCCTAAAACCTAAAAAAAACCAAACCACCAAACCACTAGGAAGACAAAAAACCTAAAACCTAAAAAAACCCAAACCACCAAACCACTAGGAAGACAAAAAACCTAAACCCTAAACCCTAAACCCTAAACCCTAAACCCAAACCACTAGGAAGACTTGCCGCCTCCGCTTCCTCAAGGCTCTGCTTCTCGCTCTGCTTCAACTTCGCCTTCTCTTTGTTTGACATGAACCTGATGTAGGGCTTAGGGTGTAGGTTTAGGGTTTAGGGTTTAGGGTTTAGGGTTTAGAACCCGGGAAAGAGCGTAGGCTTTGTATGGTTGTATGGTTTGGGGGGAGTATAGAATCTAGAAGGGTTCTCTGGAAGTTTATGCTTGTCAGGGTGTGAGGAATCTGCGATTCAGGAACAAGGGCTTAGGCTCTGTAGGGTTTACGGTTTAGGGTTTTGGGTGCAGGGTTTACGGTGTCTTGATGACATTAGGCCTTGTAGGGTCTAAGGGGTCGATAAAAACTCTACACCCAGAGACTCCAATACCCCTTAATTAAGGAATATACCTTAAATTCTTACTAGGGGTCCTACTATAATTTTTAAGGTACCCTAAACCCTAAACCGTGGCTGATAAGAGCTCTACAACTACACGGGTTTGGGCTTCCTGGTTTCAGAGAACTGCCAGGATGCTACGGTTGATGATATAAGTCCTGCATTACGAATACCAGAACTCTCATACTTTCGGGTCCTTAAGGTAATGCAGGATGTATACGTATATATATATATATATACACATATTATCATCAACAGGATTAGTTATAGGTTTATGTGCAGGGTTAAGGGAGCTATCAGGGCTCTGTAAGAGCTGTGGGCTTTCTAGGGCTTTAGGGTTTAGGGTACTTCAGAAGCTAGGTAGCTTTCTTGGGGAAGCTGAAGCGAAGTTAAACTTGAGTATGCGCTCCGTGCCGTGTTTTGGGGGCGTGGAGACTGTTTGAGTAAACATCTCGGGGAGTGGAGGTGTAGGGTTTAGGGGTTTAGGGGGAGGACAGAATGTTTCTGTTGCTCCACCGAGCTCCTTGATCGAACTGTTGGTCCTTTCTTGCCGTTCGCTGCAGGTGACGCATCAAGAAGCTATGAGGGTCTACACTTGGGTCTAGGGTATAGAGAAGACACCCTTGATGGTAAGCCCTAAACCCTAATCCCTAAACCGTGTAGACCCCAGTCTTACATCATGACAGGAGGCCATTCTTTGGCAGGTCGTGCGGCAATGTCCTTCTTGTGCTTCTCCAGGTTGTCGGACCTTGTGTGAGTTCAGGCTTCAACCGCCGTATACTCCTTAGATTCAGAGGGCTTGAGGTTTAAAGGTTTTAGGATCAATAAGTCCAAGAAAGCCGGAGGGGGTTTGTAGGATTTGGAGTTCAGCAGTTGAGTCAGTCGAGGTGTAAAGATGGAAAGATTGATCCAACTCTGAACCAGGCTCCTTACAAAGTCCTTCTATACGTTCCCATCAAATCCGAGAGACCGGAAATGCAAGCTGTTTTCGAAATCGACCATCTGGTGCACTCCATCGCCCCGACCCCGTCCTCTCCCACCGTCCACGTCCAAACAAAGGACCATGTGCCAATATACGAGCCTAAGCTAAACATCTACGCCTTCATTGGCATGCATTCTGCACCGTCACCTTGAAATAGGCCAACAAAAACTCCTGCCCAGACCAAAGATTAGAAACTGAGCAGGGTCCGCTCCCATGATGTTGAAAGCCCGGCCGTAGTACCAAACTAACTAGCCTTAACACCAGTGAACCCCAAACCCTATAAACCCTAAACCCTATAAACCCTAGAAGACCTAAACCCTGTAAGCCCGAAACCCTACAAGCCCTAAACCCCATAAGCCCTAAACTCTAAAGCCTATCCAAACCTCGACTCTTGGGTTTAGGAAGTTTAGGGTTGCGACTTTCGGGCTGTCTAGGGTTTCGGTTTTAGGGTTTGGGGCTTAGGATTTAGGGCTGTCTAGGGTTTCGGGTTTCGGGCTGTCTCTAGGTTTTGGGTTTAGGGCTGTGTAGGGTTTAGGGTTTAGAGCTGTATAGGGGTTAGGGTTGAGGGCTGTCTAGGGTTTAGGGTTTAGGGCTGTATAGGGTTTAGGGTTTCGGGTGTAGGGCGGTATGGGGTTGAGGGTTTCGATAGGGCTTTGGGGCTTTTGGGGTCTCTCTTAAAGTCATAAGGCACTACAGTAGTCACTACAAGGAAGCCTCAAGCAGTCTATGGTCGGGTAAGGTATATCCTGCACACCAAGCCGTACTCCAAAGCCCTTCTGGTTCGACCTACATATGGGTAGTTCTCTAAATTAGGATCCCCTAAACCCTAAACCCCCTGGGGGGCCCTGCTTTTGAGTCAGCAAGTCGGCGAGTCGCAACTCCTGGGGCGGCACGAGACTCGAAAACATCGCCACCGTCCAAGTATGCGGGCATCGGCTGCAGGGGTTTAGGGTGTTAGGTTTAGGGTTTAGGCTTTAAGGTTGAGGGGTTTAGAGGTTTAGGGTGTAAGGTTTAGGGTTTAGGGTTTGAGGTTGAGGGGTTTAGGGGTTTAGGGTTCAGGGGCTTAGGGTGTATAGGGCTTAGGAAAGTTTAGATTCGTAGAAGTAGTCTGGCTGAAGAAGAGAGCCCTAAACCCTAAACCCTAAACCCTAAACCCTAAACCCTAAACCCTAAACACCTCTGTATCCCAGGCAAGGCAACCCGAAGGTTTAGGCTTAGGGACTAGGGTTTAGGGATTCGGGTTTAGGGTTTAGGAATTAGGGTTTAGGGTTTAGGGTTTAGGTTTGGGGCTTGAGTTTAGGGATTAGGGTTTAGGGTCCCACCAAAAAACCCAGCACGACTGTCCCCATGTCATGTCTCGCATGTTCGTATCATCTCGACAGCTTCCTGTGTTGTGGGGTTTTGTTATAATCCGTAACACCAAAATAGTTTAAGTAAATATTAAGGCCCCTATGTTTATTAATGAAGTGCCTACTCCTTATCAACCTTTCACACATCACTCCCGAAATTCCACTGCCTGAACTCCCAAGCCCCACGTCATCTCCCTTCCCAGAGACTCCAATATCCCTTAATTAAGGAATATACCTTACAGTATAGTAGGAACCCTAATAAGATTTAAGGTATATTCCTTAATTAAGGGATATTGGAGTCTCTGGGTTCGGGCCTTGTCCACGGATTCTTCCTGGATGATGGCAGTGATGTCCTGCATGCTCTGGCTTATGCTCGAAGCTCGAGATGAACTAGAAGCCACCTACCCTAAACCCTAAACCCTAAACCCTACAATGCAAGCAGCCTCCAGGACAGTCCCTTTTTGGTCACCCTGTTTTCTCATGATCCTGACCACAACAGCAAAGTTAACCAGAAGCATCACCTACTATGAAGATTATCAGTAAATAAGGGGTTTCGAGTTTGGAGTTCTTCCGCTTCGCAGGATCTTGGACCGATACCTGCAAGCCCCCAAGTTTTCGGATTATTGCACTCCATGACATGAGCTGCGTGGCAACCCGAGGCCGTGTTCCAAACACCGCATCTAAACCCTACAGTAACACTTCGTAACCGCCAAGCACCCTGAACAGTTGCGTTGCTTCCCGAACGGCCGGCTGTTTCAAACTCTTGGCTTGAAGGGCAGCTTACCTAAGGATGCGGGGTTCCAGTGTTCGTTTGGGTATGGGCTTTTCGGGTTTCTGTCTGCGGGCAGAGTCTGCGGCTGCCCACCCTGTCCATTGATGCACAATGGACAAATGAGCTTACCTTAACCTACCAAAACCCACTTCTCGGTAGGTTCTTATTATAAACCCTAATATGGGATTTATAGGGAACCTACAAAAACGTCGGTTCTGGTGGGTTAAGGTAAACCCTAAACTCCTAAACCAAAAGCACCAACAAAATCCCACGCCTTCAGCACTGGCTGCTTTCGAGGCGACTCCTCCCTCACTACACACTGAGCTACTTGAAGGATCATGGGACTTAGTAAGTAGGGTTATAGTTAAGGTAACTGTACTTATATTTACTTATAACCCCAGTTAAGGGATTTATAACCTTACTTAGTAAGTCCCATGATCCTTCAAGTACAGTCAATATTCCTGCGTGCATGAGGCAAAACCCAAAACCCAAAACCCTAAGCAGGCAAACGATGTCTACATCAATATCACCGTTGGCAAAGCGCCACTGCCCCAGTTCCGAAAGGCTGCAATTCATTAGTGTTCTGGGTGGTTTAAGGACCGGGTCGCACACACCGCAGAGTCTATGAATACACATATTTAACGTCCGTTTTTTAGGTCCTTTAAAGGGATCTACAAGGGTTTCTATAGGGTTTCTATATGGGTACTATAAAGGCTGTATAGGGTAGTTTTCAAAATTAGGGTCCCTTTTAGGGTCCTTTTTATAAGGGTGCCGTACTATGCAAGACGTACTTACCCATAGGCCCCATAGTAGTTCCTTTTTTGGGGTTACCTTATAAGATTCTAAACATGAACCCCCAAAAGGAACCACTATGGGGCCTATGGGTAGGAATGGATAACACTTGATCGCTTGAGGTGCGTGTACCTTGTACAGAGAGATATCGAAACAGTAGCCGAACTCTAGTTTACATATGTACGTGTGTATGCGTACATAGGTTTTCTATAATTTATGTTTTCGCACCTCAAGCAAGCCCCGAACCCGACCCGCAGCTAAGATTTCCACGGCTACCTCCTCAAAGGAAGCAACCTTGTCCGCCCAGTGCTGGATGGCCTCTTTCGGGGTTGAAGGCTTAGGGTTTACGGGTTACAAGTTTAGCGTACTAAGGGTTCCGTATTCTCCGGAAAACTCAGAACAGGGTCTGGGGGACAACAGCTTCAAAAACGGAAATGCACGGTTCTCCTTCAGGTTCTGTACTGCTGCTGGACTTTGGATAGACAACTAGTCTGGGTTTAGGGTTTAGGGCTTCGCATTGAAAGCCCTCAAGCCCGAGTACTAAACACAAAAGCACACAAGCCGTGTATACAGCATACGCAATCATCAAGCAGAGCCCTGCAGCACGAGCAAACACCCTCGCACGATGCATGGTTCAGCCCAAGATTCAACAATCCTAAACATCGAAACCCTAACCCTGCCCTAAATCTCAAACCGCAAGCTTGATCGAAAGACACTCCAGTGAGCAAGCGCTCGCTCGCGATCCGTTTTGAAAGCTCGAATCTGAAAACCGGAAAATCCTTAAACTCTAAAGCCCTAAACCCTAAACCCCTAAGCCCTAAACCCCTAAACCCCTAAACCCTAAACCCCTAAACCCTAAACCCTGAAATCCTAAACCGTAAACCCCTAAACCCCTAAACCCCAAACCCCCTAAACCCTAAACCCTGAAAGCCTAAACCGCAAACCCCTAAACCCCTAAGCCCTAAACCCCTCAGCCCTAAACCCCTAAGCCTTAAACCCTGAAAGCCTAAAGCCCTGATCCGAGCTGTCAGGAGCTTCGCGGACCCAGCTGTTTAGGAAACATCGGAACGATGCCGCGGACGAACTGTTAAAGGAAATTGCAGGTGGGGAGTTTAGGGTTTAGGGCTTTAGGGCTTTAGGGGTTTAGGGTTTAGGGTATATAGGGCTTCTATAGGGCTTCCTATAGGGCTTTCTATATGGTATGTAGACCTTCTATAAGGCTCGTATAGCGGTAATTTCCCACTTGAAAATGTCCTAGACACTGTCTTTGAAGGGCGGCAGTCTGTGGAAGCGTACCGTCTAATCTACGGCCTCCGTACCCTAAACCCCTAAACCAAAAACCCCTAAACCCCAAACCCCAAACCCCCAAACCCCCAAAACCCGAAAACCCTAAACCAACAACCCCTAAACCCCTAAACCAAAAAACCCTAAACCCCAAACCCTAAAACCCTAAATCAAAAACCCCTAAACCCCTAAACCATCCTAAACCAAAAATCCTATAAGCCCCTCATCCCGAGCCCTAAACTCCAACCTAGGCACCGAACATGTTGCTGGCCTCAGCGGCGATACTCCGCCGAACGACTTTCGACTGAACCTTGCTTGAACCTGCACTCATGCGGTGGGTTTAGCGTTCATAGGGCTTTGGGGTTTATGGGGTTTAGGCTTGTGGGTGTATGCAGGGGCCCAAACCCGCAAGAGCCCTTGTCCTTTTGGGTGTAAGATGGATCCCTTAAAGCAGCAATCGCAGAACCCTTAGCCGCTGAGCCTTATCTGTCACTTGCGGCCCGACCTCGGAACCCTAAACCCTAAACCTCTAAACCCTAAACCCCTAAACCCTAAACCCTAAACCCTAAACCCCACCAGGCCCTGCAACCCTAAACCGAACGCCCAAAATGTCCCAGGTACCGTTTTGAGCGCTACTCTCCCAAGTCAATGATTCCTCATATAAAAACCCTACATTCTACTACATCAGTACTTTATAGGACTCCTAAGTACTGATATAGTAGAGCGTAGGGCTTTTATATTGGGAATACTTCCTTAAAGATGAAATGACCCGTAAAACGTAGGGGCCCTATGCCCTTATACTATGAATCCCTATATGGTATATGAACCTTAAACCCTTTTAGGGTCCGCTTCGTCCTTAAGGTTCCCAGAGACTCCAATACCCCTTAATTAAGGAATATACCTTATATAAATCTTTTTTAGGGCTCCTACTATCATTTAAGGTATATTCCTTAATTAAGGGGTATTGGAGTCTCTGGTAACTCTCAAC